TATATATATATAAACGAGGTTCACCAATGAACGGATCGGTTATGACCCACATAAATCTAAATGTCGGAAACTGAATTTTATATTAATCTTTATTTAAACCTTATAAAATATTATAAGTATATGTAAGTTCTTTGATTACAAAAAACGCAGAAAATTTGAACACAGGATACTTTGTTTAAATACAAATTAGAAAGGTTTGGTACGTGTGTTTCATGTACGCATTGTATTAAACGCCTACACTCGAAGTTACCAAATTTCTATAATGTTGCCAGAAAATAGAGATAGAGATTTCTTAGAGATATCTAAGAGAAGACGAAACGATCCGTACAAAATCGTATTGTCAGGCCTATTAATATATAATACAAGCAACCTCCTAAGATTGCTGGTAATGTGATTATTATTTGATCAATGAATTTGAATAAATGAATTTCATAAGTTTCTTTTTTTTGTTTCAAGTAAACCTTTATATAATAGGGAGTGAAGAGTATGTTTAGCAGTTGTAAGACTTATTGTTAACGTTAAACGCGAATCGCCTCGAACACGATCGACGTTCAGATTCTTTTCTCACGAATCCCCGAAGAGAAGTTGGCGAATAGCCAGAAATTCGGTTCGCTCACGTTTTCATCATCATCTTCTTCTTCTTCTTCGTCTTCTTCTTCGTCTTCTTCTTCTTCTTCTTCTTTCTTGCTCGTTAGTTTGCTCTTTCACTTAGAATAACTCAGAGGTGACCACCGCCTCCCCGGACGTCGCGTACGTCGACTGACCCAGGAAGAGGCCAGTCGCACCGTGACGCTATCTCGATACGGGCGTTGTAGTATCGTTGGACGTTACGCAATTCGCTGAACGAGATGCGACTCTACGACACGTAATCATCGAACGAACGAGCAACATTTTTTTTTAGCTAAAACAATATGCAAAAACGGAAACGACAAGCTTTATTCTAATCCCTTTACAACGGTCAACTAATTTGGAAAAAGAAGAGCTTGTCAGAATATCATCGTCATGCTGTCGGTACCATCGTCAACATTTTCAGAGAGCATAACACCAAAAAATAACAATTTACTCGAATCTAATAATGATGGATTATTGGAAGACAAGAAAGATGACTCGATAGAGTCAAGACATATGATAAATTATTCGAGTTCCAGTAAGAGTCTTGGAAATTTAACAAGAAGGCCTCCATTACCATCAATCGTTAATTACACGAAAAGACCAAATAGTAGATTACAACAAGGTAGTAGTAGTTTAAACTCAACTACGAGAAGTCCATCACCCTCTAATAGTAGCCTTTCATCTAGTCTATCATATCACGCTAGATCGGCCACCAGATCGGCCACCAGATCGGCCACAAGATCGCCATCGTTAGCTTCTTCCAGAGCTTACTCCTCACGTTTAGACTCATCAAAGTCACTTTCTCTAGCACCCCGTCGAACGTTTCCACGTGAAAGTAGTGCGGTTTGTTTGGTCAGCGAGGATGTTGCCTTGAAAGAGCAAGCACCTGTCGTCTTTGATGCTAGTCTTAATTTTGTTCTGAGTTGTGATAAGCAACGAGTCAGACAATCATTTAGACCTATGGCTTCTCACCTTGAACCTGCTACAGCTTCTTCCTATCTTTCTAACAGAATATCGCAATTTCTTAAAAGAACTGATCATATTATGGACGAATGGCGAAGTCTTGGTCATAAAGAGGACTTGGATGAAAATTGTGCATCTGTCTCTAATAATCTACGAGACACTTCGAGATCGTTCATGGGAAGAAGTCAGAGCGCTACTAATATTATGATCAAAGGTTATCAATACTTTAGTAGATCCACTAGCAGGACTAAAAATCTTTCTTCCAGACAAAGTCTTTCTAGGGCTTCGGAAGATAGAACACTATCAGATGGTCCTGGGAATGAGGTATTTTGGAATAGTCCAATTTCATTGTTACAAACAAAAGCCTCTTGAATTTCATTTATAATTAGGAATTGCAATCATTTATAAGTCATCATTCTTTGCGATTATATCAATTATTTATCTGTTCAATTATCAGATCTATCTGTTGATTTATTTTGAACGAATGCATTTTTGTATATTACCATTATTTCTTTTGATTTGCAGCTTAGTGAAATGACGGCTGATTTTGCGGAAGAACATTCGACATCCACGTTAGCAGCCGAAAGAATCGACGCCGAAACATCGGAACGTTTGAGATTGGAACGAGAACTTCAGGATGTTACCGAAGCTAATAAGAATCTTCAGCAGACTACCGAAAGACTTGAAATGGAATTATTGTATGCAAGAGCAGCTGATTTAAACGGTGTTGCTTCGGATGGGGAAGATGTCGAAGATGGTGGTGTCTATAGACAACGCTACGAACATGCTGTCCGTGAACTCGAATTTACTAAAAGAAAAATGGCTCAACAGCACGAGGACGATCTAGAACAATTGGTTGGTTTGAAGAAGCAATTGGAGAAAAAGGTACGTTTTCGCATCTTTCACAATTTGTACCTATCTTATCCTACGATCCTTTTTAACTTATACTTTCAGCTGGCCGATGCCTATGAAGAAGTTGAAGAACAACGTCAGGTTGTAGGTCAATGGAAACGTCGAGTTCAAAAGTTAAACGGCGAAATGCATGATCTAAGATTGCTCTTGGAAGAGCAAACAGCTAGAAACAACCTTTTGGAGAAGAAACAACGCAAGTAAGTTCTAGCTTGTTTTATATTTTAACCAAGTATTCTGATCAATCTGAAAACGCGCGATCCCACTACTGAATTATTAATGTTCCACTTTTCATAAATAATTATTCTAATAGTTTGGCAATAGCAATGAATATGGGTCGCATATCGTGACGATTATAATTAGTAACAGCAATTTGATCCCAGTTACAAGACCGGAATTCTTGAAGAGCTTGTAAATTGTCCCGAATCTAATCTACTTAGTAGTAGAATTTTCTCGAACTCGAAAAGCTGAGAAAAAGTGAGAAAAGTGAGAAACGAGAACTTGCTTATCTGGGTTTTTCTCGCTGGATGCGCTTCTTCGTTCTCTGTCTGGCGCGACTACTATTGGGAGGTGGCTCACTCTATTCTCATTTCTTCCGTAGCAACAAGTGTTTCTGGCTTAACGCCAGACCACCAGATATCCTTGCCAAACTTTTACATCGTATGGCTATACGTGTAGCTATAAATCGCAATGGGTTTATCATCAAAATAGTCAGATATACATTGATTACCCTACATTCTACAAACTTATTCTACAAACGAAAATATTCTCTTTGTCTTTAACATGCAGAATTTCAAGAAATTCTGTTCTTATCTTTTAGATTTGATTCGGAAACGCAAAATTTGATGAACGATCTTAGACAAGAAAAAGCTCAACGAGAGAGATTGGCGAGAGAAAAAGAAATCGCAATTGCTGAGAAATTTACGATAGAGCAAAACTTGAGTGTGAGTATTGTGTCAACTGTCTAAGTACGTACTGATGTATAAAATAAAAATGTATAAATAAATTTATTCGATTTTCATTATTTTTGAAGGACGCAAAATTAGAAATCGAATTGAAAGAAGAACGACTTCGTACCTTAAGTCAAGAATTGGAAGAATTAACGTTTGGTGGTAAAACAGAAGAAGAGGTTGCTCAATTAAAGAAAGCGAAGCACGAGTTAGAAAAACGGTCAAAGGATCAAGAGGAAGAATTAGATGATTTGGCTGGACAAGTACAACTGCTTGAACAGGCAAAATTGAGACTTGAAATGAGTATAGAACAACAACGTAAAGAGATGCGGAAAGAAATGCAACAACGTGACGAAGAATTGGAAGATGTACGTGGGAACGCGCTTAAAAAGGTAAAGGCTTTGGAATCTCAGTTGGAGAACGAGCATGAGGAGCGAACGATACTTCTTCGCGAGAAACACGAATTGGAACGACGATTGGTAGCCATAGAAGAACAGGATAGGGCCGATCGTGCTGCGGACGCCGAAACGACACAAAGGTTATTATTCATTATTTTATATTATTGTATTAATTATTACTATATACAATATATTTCAATAAATTTCAATAAAATACGCAATTACATTCGTTCTTTCTTATTTGTAAAGATTAAAAAGAGACTTAAAGAGAACAAGAGCATTACTTAGAGATGCCCAAACAATGCTGGAAAGATCGAAAGGGGATTCGACTGGTAAAGCAGCTTTAAGACAATTAAAGAACCAATTGGAAGATGCTGAATGTGCCAGAGCAGCGGCTGCCAAAGCTAAACAAGCCTTAGAACAGGAGTTGAACGAAACGCAAGCTACTTTGGAGGAAGCTACTAGACAACGTTCCGAAGCCGAGGATCGTGCTAATGCTGCTAATCGCGAACGATCGGAGCTTCTCTCTCAACTCGAAGAAAATGAGGAAGAACTCGCTGAAGTATTCTGAAGATTAAAAATTAAAATTAATAGAAAATTATTTAAATATTCATTCATATGTGATTATATTTATTTATTTATATATTTCTTTTCTTTTCTTTTTTCAAGGTATTAAAAAAGTATCGAGCTGCTGTTCAACAAGTTTCCATGGAGCAGGCACAATTGCAAGAAGCTCAAGTACAGATAGCAGCTCTAGAAGCAGAAAAGTCATCGTTGAAAGATCAGCTATCAGAATTGAGTCAACGATTGGAATCCGTAGAACAACTAGGTGATCCAACTGCAAATAGTCTTGCTACGAGACGATTAGAGTTTCGCACTAAAGAACTGGAAAGTAAATTAGAGCTTGAACAAACAACGAGAGCTCGTTTAGAGGTTATTATTTTGAATCATCTAAATAATTGATTGATAAATTGAATTCTAAATTAAATTTTTTGTATTTATTTTCAATTATTTTTTCGTAGACTCAAATAGCACGACTCAAGGAGAGCGTTGAAAAGCTTCAAACAGAAACGGCTTTGCTGAGAACAAAAGAACAAACGGCACAGGATACAACAAGAAGATTGCAAAGATCGTTGCGAGACGCTCGTGAAGAAGCAAACTCTGCTTTAGCTCGCGAGCAAGAAGCGACGCGTGCTAGACGAGAGCTAGAAAAATCTCTAGAAGCTGCTGAAGCTGAAACTAAACTCGCTCGGGATGATCTGAGATTAGCACTTCAAAGAATAGACGATTTACAGAGTGCTATACAGGGTGAACTCGACTTAGATTGTAGTGAAGAAGCGACCAGTGAAAACAGCGACAGGTTGGATTTAATCGACAAAAATACTAAGCCCGTCTTTACATTTTAATACATTACGTACATATATATACCTATATTTTATTCGGACGAGCGATTTTTAAATGTTCCCAATGTTTCATATTATGTGCGTATTATACGCGTAAACTGAATTATCTTTTCAATTACTTTCAATTATTTTCTATTACCAACAAACATTTTCTTTCGTTCTTTTCATGATTGTAATACCACACATTACGAATTACGAATTACGAATTACGAATTACGAATTACATTTACGAGTTAACAAATTTTCAAACATAACAATCCATACATCTTGTATAAATGTAGTAGATGTTCGTTGTATTTTTTTTTCTTATATCAATTTCTTTTCCAGCGATTGATCCAGAGCAACCTCGGACCTAGAGTCCGAAAGAGATGAAGTAGAAATCGTCGAAAGAAAAGAAGCATCATCATCTAATAATGAGACAGCGATCGAAGAAAATTGTCCTAACACAAGTTTTTAGATATACGAACGAAGATTAATTGTGAATAAAATGAATTCAAGTACAGCGTTGTGGATGGAAAAATAAAAAAAAAAAATGAAATATCAAAGAAAGGAAACTATGCTGACATATGTGACTAAAAAGAAGTCGATTGAAAAATATCGAAAAGTATCTAAAGTATTATTTTCGTCGTAATAACAAATGATCGAAAGGGAATCAAAATGAAGCCAAGCATTCTCTCGTAGAAATGCTGAATCGCTTTATATAATATAAAATTAAGATACAAAGAGAGAAAAGAAAATATGTATCGTTAACAATTTTGAGATGCGACAAAAAAGTAGTTTTAAGCGAACAAGATACAACAATTTTCACTATTTCTCTCGCAGCTTATCCAACAACGATAGCAGCGAGTAGGTGCTAAACTATTAAAAATGTGTATGATACCTATAATGCTTCAAAGTCGTGGTTAAATGTGTATTATTTTCTTATTTTCATTCAATTCATCTTCTAATTTTATTTCTTATTTCTTCTTGTTCGCGCATAATTGGTGCTACTTTGCCCAACTATAGTCTTCTATATGAACGAATGGTATCGTTCTTTCAGTCTTCCAAGAGAAATTTAATAACTTTTTATTTCTGAAATTTTCAATACTATTGTCAGATGGCGATATGCATGGAATTTTGAAGAATATATCAAAAAAGGCATCTTTTTAATTAGAGAATAATGTTCACACGTCAGAAAGCCTTACTTCTATTAGAAAATAAATGCATACGTATATTGTACGTACATACAAACAGACACAGAGACACACACATTATATATACTCTTATCACATACTTTCCGCATGAATGCAAGTTTGCAAATCTCGATCACATTTTTACCGTTTTTTGTTTGTATAGAAAGACAAAAAGAACAAAAAGCCACGACTCAAGTCAGTTCTTTGATTTCATGTAAGAACTCTCGTGTAACTTATTGCTTTGTAAAATGCAAATCTCTTATTTAATTATATCAATGTTTATCATTCATTTCATTCATTTGTTAACCTGTTTGCCAAATTTTTTTACTAAAAGAACAAATATTTATGAATCTTCAAAATATATCTTACCAATATTTTCAATATTTTTTTTACATTATATAAGATTATTATATATGCAAAATATATTTATATTCTATTTATATTCTGCATAGATAGATAGATAGATATTTATATTGTAAGTATATATGTATTTTTTCTCTATTTAAAGTATTGCGTACTTTTTATTTTCTTTCTTATTACTTTTCTTTTTAAAGTGAAAATTGTTTTTTACGGTTCATTATTGAAATATGTTTCAATGAATCCTTAAAATGGCGCTTCAATTACACGAATCGGAAACGTTCCTATAACGTGTTAATGGCAGTCCGAAATCATATAAAGATGGTGTTACAATGACGCAAGAATCAATTAAAAAGCACTGATGCAATCATTCTTTTACAAGATCTAATATTAATATATAATAATTAACTTTTCCTGTAAATATACATACAGTGAGTGTCTCTCATAATCAACCGTTATACTTACTAAATTTTTACATAAAATCTATTGTTATAGTGTGTTTAAAATGAAGCAAAATTACACAAGTAAATACTAAATATAAGTAATTTTACAGTATTACATGTTATTTACTGAATTTAACTTGAAAGCTACATTAAAGAAAGGTGAATTAAACAAATCAAGATCTCCTGAACATAGACGTTGACTGTTAATAGATGTCACTATGAACATACAAAATAATACAATACCCTCGTAGGGTAGGGTATTTCTGAAAAGTTCGTAGGGTAGAAGTTGATATCTGTTTCATACAACAGGGGAGGTAAACTGAAAGTGTCTACTTATTACTATCAAGATTGATAAGAAGAATCCAACAACACTGCAACTATGAAAGATTTTTAAATGCACTATTCTTATTATACTTACATTGGGAAGAAATCATATGCAGTTATATTCTATCAGAAGATTAGCAGAAGGAATGCATCCTAGTTATCACAAATTAGGAAAACAAATGGCTGATACATTATATTATGAAACTCTGTTCTTGTACAAAATTTTTTACCAAGTTTTCTAAACGATAATGGAAAATATTATTTTTCATCGACTGCCAAGAAAAATTTATGTATTTATATCAATTAATATCTTCTTTGCAAAGAATTCCATGTGAATTATTATGAGAATAGAATGCAGCTGCTCCGACTACAAATAATCTAGACAATAATTTGTTTAGAGGCAAATATAATAAATTTCTTAAAAGAAGAGGTAAATATTATAATACTATTAAAATACACTTACATTTACCATATAAAAATTGATTTAGGTTGCATTTACTTTTTTAATCAATTAATAAAAACATATTGTGGGGTAATCTATATTTAATTACCGACTGGTAAAATGTGTATCGCCATCTAGGGGTACAAGTTATTATTTCATTGAACTGACTAGTAAAATGATGCTGCCATCTAGCGGAAGTAAATGTTACTATGTCTTACCGACTAGTAGAATATGTTTCGCCATCTAGACAAAAGACAAAACATCACTAGGATAAAATCAAGATGGCTACCTGTCAATGTACTTTGAATACCGTAAATACCGGCTATGTGCAATGTAAAGTATTTAATT